TTTTTTTGTTTTTTGCCCTTGAAAATCGGAGTGGGTCATGTATTTTTTCACCATCCGTATGGGGTGGGTCACACAAAAATAGTCTTCCAGTTATCTGATTTCGCAGGCAAACCCCCCTTCCCCCTATACTTTATGACCAGTCCCTAACCGCTTGATAACTGGTTATATGGACTATAGGGATCTTTTAATTTCTTTTGCTTCGTTTCCGAGGCTGGTTTCTTCTAGTTTCGTACAAGAAACTAAGATGGTCTTGAAGTCTTTCAACCTCTGTTTTTCCTGTCAAAAGAAATATAGTTTGATTATATGTAGTTCACGCCAAGAGATTATATTCCAGCTGTGTTGGACCTTCAGATCAAACTCAAGGTCGACCAATCAGAATTGAGGAYCCAACATCATATTTTGATAAGCATTTGCCACKTTTGTCTCAAAAGAGCCCATAAAACAAGTTATTCCTTCTTTAAATTAACTGTGAACGCTAGTCGAATTCATGGCCGAATTTTAATATAATCAAAAAGAAAGTTCTTACATCGTAAACCTTCACAATGCTCGAAAAATGTAAAAAATAGTGACCCCATAATTCATTTCTCTTTACAACGTGTACTGTTGTTAACGTCGACTATTTAAAAATTAGTCCTCGAGTTCGAATGGTGTACGAGTCAATAGCCCATGGGGCCGAAGGCCGAATGCGCTATTCACTAATAGACCATGAGGGCGGGATGTCTAATTTTAGTAAAGACCTAGTAATCGGTCCAATAAAGGATGAAAAATTGCTGAAGTTTGCGTGAAATAATTTATTTTTKGTTGTTAAATCTGGCGTTTTTCGCAAATAGAGGTCTATCACTAATAGCCCCTTAGTAGCTCAGCCAATCAAAACGCTCGAGTAGTGATAGACCATCAGTTTTTTCTAACTAAAATTAGTTTCCACAAAACTGTAGGCTATCACGAATCCTGCATTCTGATTGGCTACTCGTGGGCTACTGATGGGCTATTCGTGAAAGCTCTCTAGTGGTAGCCCATAATTGAGAAAATCAAACTCGAGTGTGGTCAAGTTAAATCGCAAAAATTTCAAACTTGTATTTTTTCCACAAACTTTATTCCAAATTAATCGTAGAATAACAAGATTGTACCTAATGATGGGGTGACGGTTTTGAACAGGTATTTAGAATTGAAAAAAAAAGGTAATTTCAGCTAACGATTTTGAGTAAAACCCGTAAAAAATAAAAAAGTGGTAAATTTTTGTAAAGGAACTAAACAGTTTCAAAATTTAGCTATTAATTATTTCTCAAATCATATCGCGTACAAATAAGAAAATCATTTGAAAATGGAATAGCTAGTCCATTAGTAGAAAAGGCATTTTATGTAAATATTTAGTGATCTCAACGCAAATCAATATCATCACACCTCAGTAAAATGTAATTTTTTGTTACCGCATTTTATTAGCTCACCTCTTCTCTTCCCATGCACTCCGTGTCTTGATCGCTGATCTGAACATCCATCTTTGATAAATAAAAATAGTAATTATCTAAAAAATCATAGTTTTTGTTTAGCTTGTTCGTGTGAATACCCCCTCCCCATAATCAAAACTTTGTCCGTGTTCATTAATTTAAATGAAGTTACTAACCTTCCTTGGATTTCTTGTTTTCATCTTTATCTTCCTCATCATCCTCATCATCCTCCCCATCCTCAGCCTCATCCTCATCCTCATCCTCATCCTCATCACCATCACCATCACCATCACCATCACCATCACCATCACCATCACCATCACCATCACCACCACCATCACCATCACCACCACCATCACCA